GTCAGCCTTGGTGGAGTCTGGGAAGGCTTCTTAGGAAAGGAGCCATTAGCTCCCAGAGGAAAAAGGGGAATGCCTTTCCAGCTTTGACTCATTCTCCCACCCAGAGAGAAAAGGAGGAGAAAGAGCATGAAAGATGGGTTGGGTGAAAGAGATGTGTTGGGGAAAATATAAGGAAAGATGGAGAGGCAGAAAGAGATGTAGATGGAAATGAGGGAAGAGAGGGATGGAGAGATGGGTGCCTAGCGCAGGAAAGGTGCTTACCAAATATTTGCTGAATGAATGAATGAGTGAACAAGCAGATGGGTGTGGAGGGAGTGGGTAAAGATGTGTGGAGAGATGTGGGATGTGGGTGGAGACATAGGGAAGAAACAAATGATGTGAATAAAGATGGTGAGAGGAAAGAGTTGTGGACAGAGATGTGGGAGATATGAGAAAGAAGGAGAGAGATAAAGAAAGATATAAGGGAAGAAGAAGACAGAACGCCTGGCGTGTGGGAGGAACTCAGTAAAACCGTTGTTGAATGGATGAATGGACCCCAAGACTTGGAGAGGGAGTTGTGGAATGGATACTGAGGAGAAACCACACTGTCCATCAGAGAAGCTATTATACTGGTTTCATCCTGAGATGACAATGTCTTTAAACAGCAGTGACAATTAAGAGGTAGGAAGATACTTGAGATATTTTAAAGGCAGAATGGACAGGACTTAGAGATTGTTTGGATGAGGGAAATGAAGGAGAACCCCAGGTTTTTGTCTTAAGTGATGGGGTGGACTGTGCTTCCATGCACTGAGATGGGGACCACAGGAGCCCGATGCAGTTTGGGTGGACACTGATGATTTTGAAATGCCTGTGAAACACTCTGGAGGAGATGTCTAGAGGACAGCTAGATATTCTGGACTTGAACCTCAAGAAAGAGGCCTAAGGTGAAGGTGTAGACTGAGATGGAGATATAGACTGGAGTCTCAACAGAGAATAAGCAGTAGTTAAAACTGGCTATAACAGGACTGCATAGGTAAGCCCCATGGTAGAGGCTCGCAATTTGTTGAATGAAAGTGAGAGAGAAAGAACCCAAAAGTCCACCAACAGCTGAATCACGTGAAAGCACATGTATAGGGTACAGGAATCTGGAGGGACTTAGGCCTAATTGCTTTTATTTTCCTGGGAAAGGGGAGGTAAGATTCCAAAGTGGAACAACTTCCATGGTGACATGATCCAAACTGTAGGCCATGGAGAATCAGGGTGATTGTTGGAGTAGACCAGGTAAAGCAACTGTGAAATTAGTATATTGAAAAACCATTTGTTGGGGCACCTGGGTGGCTCAGGGTGTTGAGCATCTGACTCTTGATTTCGGCTCAGGCCATGATCTTGGGGTTGTGGTATCGAGCCCTGAGCTGGGCTCTGCACTCAGCATGGAGTCTGCTTAAGATTCTCCCTCCCCGCACCCCCCACCTAGTACACATTCTCTTTCAAAAAAAAGAAAAGTAAAGAAAAATCATTTGCAAGATGTGTACAGGAATGTTCATACAACCCACTTGTCCTCATCAGGTGAGTGGATAAACAAACTGTGGTACATCCATATTATGAAATAGCACTCAGCAAAACAAAACAAAACAAAACAAAACAAAAACAAAAAAAACAAAGGATCAAGCTACTGATACACACAACAATAGATGAATCTCACAGACACTATACAGAATGAAAGAAGTCGGATACAAGAGGGTATACTATGTGATTACACTTACACGAAGTCCAAGAATAGTGTAATATAGGGGTATACATTTGTAGGGGTATAAATCAGTAGTTGGTTCTGGAAGGGGAAAGGGATTAACCAAAAAGAGGCATGGGAGAATTTTTCTAGAATGATGGAAATGATCTGTATCTCACTTCCAGTGTTATTTACAGGGGTATATAGATTTGCCAGAGAATGTCGAACTGTATACTTAAGATCTGTACACTTCAAATGTTTTTAAAAAGATCTGCATTTTGCTGTATATAATTATATCTCAATGTTTAAAAACATCATTTATGTGGACATGAAGTCTCCTAGAGAGATGGCAGCGGTTGAAATAGAAAGGAAGCTGGAGAGTTAGGTGCCTGCTCCTGGTGAATGGGAAGGAGATTAGATCGTGACGGCAAGGGGGCAGAAGGTGGTGAGGTCCAGTGCATGAGACTCAGAGGAGAAGCTGTGGTTAGAGACTGAAAGGGGAACATGGGGGCCACTAATTCATTGAAAATGTTTGTAAGGACTTGGCTAAAGGAGAAGTCACCCACATCTCAACACTACCAACACAGGAGGAAACCCCCAGTAAGATGGGACTCGGTGCTGAGATTCCAGGGTTCCTTCTGTGTCTTCACCTCTTTTCCTGCTCTGAGCTCTGACCACCCTCGAGGCAGCCCACGGTGAGGTGTTAAAGAAGTTAGACCAGAGGGGCACCTGGCTGGCTCTGTGGTGGAACATGTGACTCCATCTCGGAGTGAGTTCAACCCCATGCTGGGTGTAAAGATTAATTAAAAATAAAATCTTTTGGGACACCTGGGTGGCTCAGTTGGTTAAGCAGCTGCCTTCAGCTCAGGTCATGATCCCAGCGTCCTGGGATCAAGTCCCACATCGGGCTCCTTGCTCCGCAGGGAGACTGCGTCTCCCTCTGCCACTCTGTCTGCCTGTGCTCTCTCTCTCTCTCTCTGACAAATAAATAAATAAAATCTTTAAAAAAAATAAAACAAAATCTTTTAAAAAAATAGTTGGTTTCAAAATAAATAGATAAATAAATAAGTGAGACCCAAGACAGGCGCACATTGACTTCACAACTTCTTTACTCGTTGCCTTTCCTTTTGAGTCCCTGGTAAAAGTTTCTTTTGAAAACATCCATCCTTGAGCTGGTTAGTGCAGCGGTTCCCGTCTTGTGGGTTAAAGTTCCTTAGAGAGTCTCAGAGCTACTGAAAAGGATCCCTGGAGCTACACATACACTAGGATTTATTCTAGATAGACTTAATAAAAAATTCCAAGTGCAATCTTTGGAATTCCAATTTTTAGATATTGGAAATCTTCGGTAGAGACAAGAGGTGGAGAGAGCGGGGTATCCTTGAGTTCAGGTACAGCTGTAACAATGGTCATCCTGGCCCCTGACTGGGGAAGACCTGGGGGCTAACATACCCTGGGCACCCAGTACAGCGAAGTCTGGACGTTGACAGATACTGTTCTCATCTCACGGGTGTGTGAACCAGTGGAACCAGGACTCCATATTAGGCTGACTTGACTTCTAAGCTGCATCGCCCTGGGACAGGGAGTAGCGCTCTGTGTGTGTAACTGTGAAAGTCTGGAGTTTGATCTTCAGGCCAGTCGCCCATCCCAGCCCCCCACCCCTACTCCACCGGTGGTGATCTCTACTCTCTCCTCAAATTGTGGGCTTCTCACAGTTGAGTAGAAGAGACAATTTCCTTCACAGTGACTCTCTGGGGGCAGACATGGCCTATTGATAGGACGAGGCAAGGTAAGGGACTAGGCAGAAGCTGGAATTAAGGCCCATTCAAGAAAAACCACCTACGGGTGTCTTGGGCGTTCCCATGCTCCATGACCACCAGGGGGCAGCTCTTGCCTTGCCACAGGACCTCGGTTGCACACCCTTAGATTAGAGGCCCAGAGGAGGAAGACCCTCTACTGATGAAGAATGGCTGAGTCAGTCCTCCCCAGATTATGTGGCGTGTGGCTTGTGTAGGTGGTTTGGAGAGGTTAAATAATTTGTTCAAGATCATGTAACTAGTTTGTAGTGGAGCTGGCATTTGAGCCCAGGCTGACTCCACGCCAACATTCTTAACCATGACATTGCTTCTTCTCCAAAACAAAACTCTAGATCACTGCAGTGATCATAATGTATTATGAAACAGAGCTAGAAACAGGGACACCCAGGGGAAAAAAGATGCATTAATATAAAAGGGGCCAGGGGCACCTGGGTGGCTCAGTGGGTTAAGCCTCTGCCTTTTGCTGGGGTCATGATTTTAGGCTCCTGAGATGGGGGCCCCACATCGGGCTCTCTGCTCAGCGGGAAGCCTGCTTCCCCTTCTCTCTCTACCTGCTGCTCTGCCTACTTGTGATCTCTATCCGTCAAATAAATAAATAAAATCTTGAAAAAATATATATGTAAAAGGAGCCAGAGAGGATTGTGTGGTGAGGGCTGGGTCCATGCCACCCCAGGTATTGCGCCTGTAATCCTCCTCTTCTATGTGCTGTGCTGTCACGTGTAGGTGTGTGAGGCACATACAAGAATGTGTGGTATAGTCTTTTTTTTTTCTTCATTTTTTAAAGATTTTATTTATTTGTCAGAGAGAGACGGAGAGAGAGCGAGCACAGGCAGACAGAATGGCAGGCAGAGGCAGAGGGAGAAGCAGGCTCCCCGCAGAGCAAGGAGCCCGATGTGGGACTCGATCCCAGGACGCCGGGATCACAACCCGAGCCGAAGGCAGCCGCCCAACCAACTGAGCCACCCAGGCGTCCCTGTGGTATAGTCTTGAACAAATCCCTGTACAACCTTGGCGTTACAAACTCAAAGTCTTTCCTTTGTGTCTGTAAGAATATTTTTCATATAAGGGGCACTTGGTAGTTTCTCCAGAAATGCTAGCTAAACAGCGAATAAAATAATAAATGAGTGGGTTTACCAGTGGGTGGCAAGTATTGGCAGAACACAATGAGTAAAGCAGACCTCAGCGAGAGGTATATTCCTTTAATGAAGATCTGAATATGAATGAGTGCAGACCTCTCCATCAGGTTGCTTTCACTCAGCCAAACCACCCAAGTCAACACATCTAAGTAAAACAGGTTGATTGCTATGCAAATGAAGCTTCCAAACAAAGCCCCTAGCAACCGCCTGCCTCCACCGCCAATCAGCTTGCTTCTCCTAATCCCCTCCACTAGAGAATTTCTAGAGCAGTCCTGGGGGTGGGTCCGCCTAAAGGGAAGAGAACAGATGGGGTGGGCGGGGGCACTGCTGAGTCCAGACGAGGGGGGAGTAGGTTAGCTCTGAGCCCAGGAGGGCACCTGGAGGCTTATTCTGGGTAAATGGTTGGTCTTCTTGAACCTCAAGAGGTAGGGGAACCACATCCTGGTCTCACCCTCCCACCCTAGTGTGAGCCCTCCCTTCCCCCTCAAACACTTAGGCCACAGGACGATGTGTTGCCCCCCACTTCCTAGTGACCCAGACACTGCCATTAACAGCATCCTCTCTCCTCAAGGAGGCACGCTTGTGATGCCCGACGTCCTAGGCTGTTGAGGTTCTTTTTTTAAAATTTAAAAAAATTTTTTTTAAGATTTTATTTATTTACAGAGAGCCCCATTCGGGGCTTGATCCCAAGACCCTGGGATCATTACCAGAGCTGAAGGCAGAGGCCTTAACCCACCGAGCTACCCAGGCACCCCTGTTGAGGTTCTTGATAAGGGATGTGTGAGTCCTGTGTGTCATAGGAAGCTGCCCGCCTCCATCTGATGACCAAAGGCCTGGCCACAAGCGGTGGGTTGTTCTTTCTCCACCCAGACCTTACTTCTCAGATCCCCTTTGCCAACGGGAACACCCTCCGACATGACCCAGATGCTGTTGCTCATCTTTATCATGGTCCATCCAGGTGAGAGGGCTTTTGAGGGGTGTGGGGCCAGGAGGAGCGAGGATGGGGAAGGCTGACATGGAGGCCTGAGGGGAGTGGCCAGGAAAGGAGAGTGGGAGCGGGTGGGGTCCTCCGGAAACCAAAGCAACGTGGACACCCCCACTTCACAATTCCCTCCATTTCTCCATGTTGCCCACTGGGTGGGTCATACTCCAGCTTCCGTCCCTGAGGTCCTTTCTTCTATCTTACTATCCTAGCAAGATAAAGTTGAAGAACCAGTATAAAGGGCTTGAAGGGAGGAAGAGGTAAATTTTTTGGGAAGGGGTCAATTTTAATTTGATAAGCTTAATAAGCCTATTAAACAAGGCTTATTATCTAGGGTCTAGATATAATTAGGAGTTTGGGAGACCTAATTAACTCTAAGGGAAGTTTCTTAGTGAAACTGATTTTAATTAACTGAGAGACGTTAACTATCAGCCATACCCATGAACTAAATGCAGTGTGGACTCCAGACCCACAGCTTTAGCATCAGCTGGGAATCTGGGCAAATTCTCAGGCCCCACTCTAAACCCGCTGAGTAAAAAACTGGGGGAGAGTCGGGCCCAGGAATCTGTTTTAACCGATGCTCCAGGTGATTCTGATGTGCTCTCAAGCTTGAGAACCGCTATAGTAGACGAATGGCAGGTAAATTTCACGAACTAGAGAATCTAATCGGAGATTTTACTAATTGCTTTAATTCATCAATTTGGTTGAGTCAAATTGATTTCAATCAATTATTGCTATGTCTTCACCTGAAAACTTTATTAGTTAATGCTCTTTAACAAAAAACAAAGTAGTGGGGCACCTGGGTGGCTCAGGTCATGATCTCAGGGTTCTGGGATCGAGCCCCGCATCAGGCTCTCTGCTTGGCGGGGAGCCTGCTTCCTCCTCTCTCTCTGCCTGCCTGTCTGCCTACTTGTGATCTCTATCTGTCAAATAAATGAATAAAATCTTAAAAAAAAAACAAACAAAGTAGCAAGGGTGGTGTACCATATACAGTTTGCCATTGGTATGAAAGTAATGGAATAATATAGTTAATTATTAGTTAGCTAGGCAGCCACATTCATTAATGAGCTCCAATTTCTATGGGACAGGTTAAGTTTCAGCAAGACACTACTAGTGAAGGTAGCTGGAGAGTGATAGGATAGGGTGAGGATGAGAGTTGGCACAGGAAAGGATTTAAAAAACTAATAAGCCATATTAAGAAATGAGGCTGGTGGAAAGGAAGGGGTTTCATGAGGTAGCAAAGTGCTTGACCCTCTGGGTCCTCCGTGGGTGGGGACACAGCTGGGATATTCTACTGCAAGCTCTCTTGTCCTTTCTCTGTATTGTAACCAGGGAGGTGTTTCTCCGGGTCTTCTCTCTGCCTGCCAGGATCCTGTGCTCTCTGGGTGTTCCAGCCCCCTGAGATTCATACCCAGGAGGGCAACGCTGCCTTCTTGCCCTGCTCCTTCAATGCCAGCCGAGGGAAGTTGGCCATTGGCTCTGTCATGTGGTACCGGGACAAGGTGGCCCCAGGGAAGGAAGTGAGGAATGGGACCCCGGAGTTTAGGGGCCGCCTGGCCCCTCTTTCCCCTTCCCGTTTCCTCTGTGACCATCAGGCCGAGCTGCACATCTGGGATACCCAAGACTGTGACTCTGGAATCTACGTGTGCAGAGTGGAGGTGCTGGGCCTAGGTGTTGGGACAGGGAATGGGACTCTGCTGGTGGTAGAGAAAGGTGAGATGGGAGTCCCCACTCTTCCTGGAAGTTGGGAGTCTTTCCCTGAGTCCCCTGCTCTCTGTCCATCCCTGGGCCTGCGCCTGCTTCTTCCTTAGGCCCCCCCTGTCCCCCTTTCTTCTACTGCCCCCATGCAGGACGTCCTCCGCTAGGGGCCAGCACCATCCTCCTCCTTCGGGCTGGATTCTATGCCTTCAGCTTTATCTGTGTGGCCATGGGCAGCACCATCTATTACCAAGGCAAATGTAAGGAAGGGGTCCAGGGCAGTGGAGAAGAGAGAGCTGGATGAGGGGGAGACAAAGAACAGCAGGAGAAGGGTTGCCGCACCGAGCAACTCCTGTCGTTTCTCCTGCAGGCCACCGTCACTGAGAACACGCTGCCACTTCATAGATGCCTCTGATGAGTGATTCCAGACCCCAGGCATCCAATTCTCTTCAAGAGACCCCAATAAATTCTCAGCCCTGTCGCTACCTTCTTAGGAGTCTCATGTGTTTCCTTTTCCATTCTCCAGGTACCCCAATATGTCCCTCTCTGGGGTCCCCCAACTCTTAACTCTCCCTTCTACCAAGCCCAGTCTGGAAAGGTCCAAGGAGCGAGCTTCCCAGTAATTGTGCCTGGCGCCCCCTCCCATCACCATCCCAGGGGTCAGCACCTCCAGCTCTCTGGGGTGCAGGAGGCTGAGGCTAATTGCTTTAATTGCTAATTGCTTTACTAATTGCTTTAATTCATCAATTTGGTTGAGTCAAATTGATTTCAATCAATTATTGCTATGTCTTCACCTGAAGACTTTATTAGTTAATGCTCTTTAACAAAAAACAAAGTGAAAAAACAAACAAACAAAAAAAACAGTTCTCCTGAGAACTGGGGAGTGTCAGATCTGACCCTTACATGTCAGCTCCCCATTCCAGCCAGGCCCACGTGTGGGCTCTTTCTGGCCTTCAGGAGAGCCTGGTCCTTCAACACCTTTCTTTCCCTGAGAAATTCCTACTCAGCCCCAGAACGGGTGGGAAGATAAGTCATGTAAGTGTTGATGGCGGCCCTGTGGAATGGCACGAAGCTGAGTTGCACTGAGAAGCCTGAGACACAGAAGATGGCGAGACACAGTGTTTACTGGGTGGACCGCAGGGTCGGCCTGAGTTCAGGGAGGCGTCTGGGGGAAGCTCTGGTGGCTTAGTTCTTGGCGATGCAGGCATATTCGGTGCTGGGGTCCTCCTTGGTGCCTTCCCTGTGGCCAGGGTCGGGCCTCTCACTGCCGGGGATGGGGAGCAGAGATGCGTAGTGGAGCTCTTGCTCCGAGAGCTGGGCCTGGGGCAGGGAGGAGTGCTGTTGGCAGGTGGCCAGAAAAGCCCCCTCCCCCCATCCTTCCTGTGTGCTGCTGCCCACCCCCTTGCACCTCTCTGTCTCCTCAGCGCCCCCACCTCTGTCTCTGCCAGCCTGAGCCCCTGTTCTCTTCTCCCCTCGCCTCTTCTCCCTGGGTCTCTGTTGTTCTTATTCTCCATCTCTTTCTCTTGCCTGGGTCTCTCTCGTTCTCTCTGTTTCTTTCTCTCTCTAGTTTCTTCCTCTGTCTTTCTCCTTTCTGTCTCAGTCCCTTTTCCTTTCTCTACACTATTTCCTTTTGCTCTTCTCATTCTTGCGTCTCTCTTCCTGCCTCTTTTTTCTCCACCTCTCTGGCTCTCTTATGCCCCTGCTTTCCCTCGCTTCTCTTGCCTTCACCTCCCCTTCAGCCCTCAGCCTCCTCTTGCCCCCATCACCTTGTTCCCAGCCCCCAGACTCACCCAGCTCCTCTCCAGCCTCCTCACTGGAAGAAAAGAAGAAGCTCAGCAGGACCTTCCCTCCTTTGACCCCCGCCCCAGAGGGTATTTCCTCACTCGCTGACATCTCTGTGGTTCCCATGGCCAAAGCCCCAGTCTCTCTTTTTGGGCACTCTTTTCTCTCTCCCACCTTCCTGTCCCAGGACGGGTGGGAACTGATGGGGACTTCTGGGAAAGCAGTAGGAACAGGTGTGGGTGGGGGCGACCCCGGGGGATATGTTGTGGGTGATGGGGCTTACCTTTCCGATGGAGCCGACACAGACAGGTGGACACAATGACCACAGCCAGGAGCAGGAGCCCTCCCAACCCCAAGCTCCCACCATTTAGGTAAAGACATAGCTCTGCAGGGCAAAACGGTGAGTATCAGGGTCCCATTTCTTCCTTTGTTACCCCATCCTCCTGGTTGACCGTGGGCATCTCAGCCCCACTCTCCAACAGTTTTAGAGGTAGAAAAACATACTCAGGTTCTTCACTCCAGATTGGGTTACCTCACCTCCTACCAGAGGTGCCCACCTCTCACGGGTTCCCTCACTCATCCCTGTGGTTGCCTCATTCACCCCTCAGGGGCTTCCCATGGCCATCCCTCCTGTCTCTGGGTCTCCCCATGAGGTCCCTTGCCCACCTGCACCAGCTGTCCCCTGGCCATCGACTCGAGGATGGACAGATACTGCTTTCTATCCTCTCTCTGTTCCCTGTATACTCCCCACCCTCCCTGTGCCGCCCATTACCTTTCATTAGGTGGAGCACTGAAGACTAACCTGGAGGTCAGGAACCTAGCCCTGCTCTGCAAGGCTAAGTGGCCTGGGCCAAGTCACGTGTCTCCAGTTCCTCATCTGCAAAGTGCGGTGCCCTCTGTTACAATTGTTCCAGGGCTGAGGAGCCCCACTGATGTGCCAACCCTGACCTAAGACACTTTCCTTTTGTTGTCGCTAAGCCTCACAACGTAGGGGATTATGGTGCCTGTTTTAGTGGTGAGGAACCTGAGACTCTAGTCCAGACTCTAGTGAGGAGGTCCAGCCTAGAAGTGGGAGAGCGGGCCTTGAACCCCAGAGCTCCAGAGCACAACCCCTTTATTCTCCCCTAGGCTAACCAGGTGGTTCATGGGGGCCTCTCCAGCATGGGGTAGTTCTAGGTTCTGGTGAGGGGCTGACAGAGGGGGAGGACCCGGGGTTTCCAGTGTGTGTGTGGACCAGTGAAACCAAGGGGAGGTGGTATCCAGAGCTACCTGGCAGCTGGGACCGCTCCCTCAGCCCAGAGCCACTCTGGGGAGCAGGGCCCTACGTGGCTGGTATGGGGAGCCACTTCCCATGGACAGACACTGCTGGGGCTGAAGTGGGGCATGGAGGAGTGTCTGGGCCCCATAACTTCCCCTCAGGCACTTCCTGCCCTGCAACCACTGGTTCCTGTTTGAAGGCAAAGAGGGGGGTCGCTGTCTTCACACCACCAGAGCCAGCTGCACTGACCAGGGTCTGGAAACTGGGATCCTGCTGGGCTCAAGAGGAATGCTGGGGTGTGTGTGGGGGTGGGTTGGGGAGCAGAAACACAGGTGGAGAGGAGGGCCTGCAGTCACCATGAGGGGAAGTGGAGGCAAAAGTGGCTTGTATTTAATTCTTTGGGGAGCAGAGACAGGCTGGACAGCAGATGCCTCCAGGGCTCAGAGAACCCCAAAGCCATACTGTCTTCTGTAATCTTAGCTTCATCTCACCGTGGGGCATGACTGCCCCTCCCTGCCCCGTTTTCCCACCAAGGTTCCTGCTCTCTTCCAGCTTATCCAGAGCCCGTGGCCTGTGCGTAGACAGACTCCAGACTGTGGGAGCTGCCTGGGTGGAGAGGTGTTGCCACTTCAAACATTCTTGCCCCTCCTCCAGCTTTAACATCTCCCCCAGTCTGGATGCCTCCCTAGCTCTGTCAAAAGAGGAAGTTAGGCTTTGAAGGTTAGTTAGGGTTACAACATCTTTCCTTTCAGACTCTTAGGACTGTAACTAAGCCTCTAAACTCCCTCAGCTCCAGCCATCCTGTTGCTTCTGCTAGTAGTCAGTGAGCGTGTGCCTCCTCTAGGTACCTTTACTCATTAACTTTTCCCCAATTACCCCTCCCACTGCCTCCGCTGAGAGCTCATGATCCCAGTGTGTATGTGTAGACACACACACACCACACACATCGGAGTGGAAGCTCTGGTAGATTTGGGGTAACTTGCCTGGTGTTCTGGGGCTGAATCAAGCAGGGCACTTGACTGATTAATGAACAGAATCAGAGGCAGCTAGACTAGATAGATGTACAGGAATACATGAGTACTGCTGATAGTCTAGGACAGAAAGCTGGTGACAAGTTGGTGTTGGGGAAGGAAGTGGGGGCAATCTAGGTGGACTTCCTGTATGAGGCAACATTCTGATGTTGCGCACAGAAAAAAAAAGGGCAGTGATCCAAGACCTTCTGGATAGACACCTGATGAAGGCCTCTTAGTGGCACTGAGATAGAAAGGGAGATGGGTGCTGGGGGATTGCACACCCAGTCGTTAAGGAGGGTGAAGACTGGGGAGCTCATGTGGAGGCAGGAGGTAAGGTGGATATCTGTGCCTGGGTCCACATGCATTTGCATCTCCTTCTTCAAATTCAGAAACTTTCTGGTGTTTCTCCCCTTTCCCCCCATCCACAACACTCCCCACGTTGGACAGCAGGACAATTCATGTTTTGTTTTGTTTTTTCCACACATTTTATTATTAAAATGTTCAAACAGAACAAAATTGAAATAGTTTTATAGTGAACATATCCATACCACCTACATTCTAAAACAGACAGTTTTCTATATTCGCTTGATCACATACCTACCCATCTATCTCATTTTTTGGATACCCTTCAAAGTTGCAAACATCAGTACACATTTTACCCCTAAAGCTCTTACCATGCTTATCAGTGACTCGAGTCCAGCTTTTGTTTCCCCATTTCTTTTTTGGGGGGCTGAGGAAGGCAAGATTTACATACATTAAAATGCACAAATCTGAAGTCAGCACTCAGGGGTTTTTTTTTGTTTTTTTTAAAGCTGTCTTGTGATCAAGGTTCTGGAGCCAGACTGCCTGGGTTCAAATCCTGACTCTGCCACTACTGTGCAGCCTTCTATAAATTCCTTAACCTCTCTGTGCCTCAGTCTCTTCTTAGAGTTTTTGTCAGGATTAAAAGAATTATTATATATATTTCAAAAAAAAGAATTATTATATATAAAGTGTGTAGATTAGAGGCAAGCACTTGCTAAGTGCTATTTGTACAATAGCTATATGTTGTTATTATTATTATTACCTAATCGCAGAGATGTCATCAAGAAGGGGACATGATCTGAGACCACCTCCAACTTCCTTGGACCTGGTCTTTTCTCTCACTGCACTGTCTACCATACCATTTGTTGCTGCTTTGTTTTGCCTTCATTTGTCCTTCCTTCATTTATTCCAAAACATGTAGTCAGCACCTGCTAAATAGATGGGGCTCACTCTAGACAGCAAGCTCTTTGAAGGTGGGGCCATGCCCTATCACTCTTCCATCTACACTCTATGGAGGAAGGGAGGTAATGCTCATTTCCATCCCTTCTCAGTGAGTCAACAGGCAGTGGAGAGGCTAAGGTCCCTTTCAGCTCCTATATGTATTTTTTCCTTTAAAGCAACGCTCTTTTTAAAATTTATTTTTTTAAGATTTTATTTATTTATTTGACAGAGAGAGAGAGACAGCAAGAGAGGGAACCCAAGCAAGGGGAGATGCAGAAGGAGAAGCAGGCTTCCTGCTGAGCAGGGAGCCTGATGCGGGGCTCAATGCCAGGACCCTGGGATCATGACATGAGCCGAAGGCAGCCACTTAACTGACTGAGGGACCCAGACACCCTCAGATGCTATTTCTGTGGCCTGGCTTAACTTGGCTTCTCACCAAGCTCTGGGGGTTACGGGTGAGTGAGGGAATGGAAGGAGGAGATTTGGTCTAGTGCCGGCATAAGCTCTTCTCAGGGACCCAGATATCCATCCCTCAAGACCTCAGTTCCTGTCCTCCTATTCCAACCCTTGACCTCAGGGACGTCGACACAGCCCTCCTTCCAGCACCCACCACTGGGGTGTAGAAGAATGCAGACCGCCCTTGAAATCTGGAGTGTGGTGTTCTCGCGTAGCTCTGCTGCCTGACTTTTTGTGAGCTACCTTCCCTCCCTGGGCCTCAGTTTCCCTCCCTGATGAACCATAAGATCTCTAAGGCCCCCTCCAGCTCTACCCTATAAGCCTGTCTCTTCACCCCGACTTCTTCCCCAGTTCAGAGAACCTGGGCATCCAGCTGCCCCACCCCAGCTCTGGGTAAACAGGAAGCTGGGTGAGGGGAGCAGGGGTGTGCGGAAAGTCCCAGCCAGGTGTGTGGGTCTATGGGGAGGGGGTGGCCCCACCCCTGAAGTATGAAAGCCCCCCTGCCCTGGCCCTGGCTCAGTCTCAATGGGGTCACTGGGGCTAGAGGGCCGGGGTAGGAGGCCCCAGGGGAAGGGCTGCCTCCTGCTGGCTGTGGCAGGAGCCACTTCCCTGGTGACCCTGCTGCTGGCTGTGCCTATCACTGTCCTGGCTGTGCTGGCCTTGGTGCCCCAGGAGCAGGGAGGAGGCCTGGTGAGTAGCCACAACAAGCCTGGAGGGGCTGCGTGTTGCTGATGCCCACTTACCTCTAGCTATGCCTGGGGCTCTTTTGTCTCCTCCTGCTCAGTCGGCTTGGCTGTCCCTGATGGGGATGCCTTGTCTGCCTCTTTGTTGGTCCTCTTTCCATTGTTCCCGTGATGCTGTTGTGTCTTGATAGCTCCAAGCTCCTTCCTGGTTGTCTAGCTGTATCCTCTTCTCTTCCCAAGACATACTCAGGCCTCCATCTCTGCCCAAGAACATATGCCTTGCTGGCTCTCCCTCCCAGGGAGATGTGTGTTGGGGATGGGGCTGGTAGTCAAGACCCCAGGCCTGGAGCTTGGGTCTGCGTTGGGAGGGGTGGGGATGGCATCAGCTAACACTGAACTCTGGGCACTGTGACCCCACCCACCCAGGTAACAGGGACGGCTGACCCGGGGGCACAGGCCCAGGCCCAGCAGCGTTTGGGTAAGAGCAGACCATCTCCTCTTCCCCTACTCCGGCCCTTCAGGGATGCCCAGCTCCCATCCAGCTGCATCCCTCGGTGAACTCATCCTTCCCAGAATCCCGTCCTGCTGCCCTTTCCTCTCGGGGGGTACCGTGCATGGAAGGCCGCCCTGGCCCGCAATCGTGGACTCTTTCCCCCCTTCCAGGGTCACAGGAGCTGCCAGAGGAAGAGGCAGAAACAGATTTCAGCTCCAGGCTCCCCGCCGCCCACCTCATAGGTAAGGATCTCACAGGTAGTCCAAGGATGCTAGCGCTGCTGCCCACAGTCCCTTTGCTCTGTCATTGCAGGGTTCGCTTTCCGACCTGCTTCACCACCTCTGGTCCCTAAAGCGCCCACCTTCCTCTCCTCCCGCATTCCATCTCCTTGCTTCCCTTCTGGAGCTGTCAAAACCCCTCCTAGATCTCTCCACTACCCCACCACCGGGCTCCACACCCCACACTCTGGTGCCCTCAGTCCCCTCCCCCAAATCACTGCAGAGGTGGCGCGCGCGCCCTCGCCCCGCCCCCGGGCTCGGATCCTGCTGGGGGTTAACAGCCCCGACTCTCCCACCTGCTCACCCTCCCAGAAGTCCCGGGCCGGGATCCTTCCTCCAGAATCCGCACCCGAGCGCCGACAGGCCCCGGTTTCTCCGCAGGCGCCTGGACGAAGGGGCAGGGGTTGGGCTGGGAGGCGAAGAAAGAAGAGGCGTTCCTGAGGAGCGGGACGCAGTTCTCCGGCGCCGAGGGGCTGGCTCTGCCGCAGGACGGCCTCTATTACCTCTACTGTCACGTCGGCTACCGGGGCCGGGCGCCCCCTGCCGGCGGGGGCCTGCTGGACCATTCAGTCACGCTGCGCAGCCGGCTGTTCCGGGCGGGGGGCGCCTACGGGCCGGGGACTCCCGAGCTGCTTCTCGAGGGCGCAGAGACCGTCACCCCGGTCCTGGACCCGACCCGGACGCGCGAGTACGGGCCCCTCTGGTACACGAGTGTGGGCTTCGGCGGCCTGGTGCAGCTCCGGAGGGGCGAGAGGGTGTACGTCAACATCAGTCACCCCGATATGGTGGACTACAGGAGGGGGAAGACCTTCTTTGGGGCGGTGATGGTGGGGTGAGGGCGGAGGAAACGACTGCCTGGTAGGGACTTGTGACTCAGCCCAGGTATTGGGGACCCAGACCCCAGGGACCCCGTGGCGGTGGGGAAAATGCAGGAGACTGTCCTGAAACTGATGGCAAACCTGAAGAAAATAAAGAATGTAAAGCTTTAGTGCTGCGGAGCACGGGTGCCCAGGTCTCTCATGTCTTGATTCAGGGTGGGTACTGCAAGGGGCGGTTACCTAGTCTTTTCTTCTGGTTGCTTGAAACAATTCATATCACTTCCTGTGGCTTCTGCCCTCTAAGAAGGCGATCGGCTGATTTCCCACCCACCTCCTGTCTCTGAATGAACTTGCCCAGCATTAGCCCAGTGGGAAGATGGAAGAAGGGGATCTCCTTAAGCCCCAAAGCATCTCCAAGCCTCCTTCTTCTCAGATCCCCGGAGCCCTCACCAGACTACACCTGTATTCCTTTCTTTGGGGTCCCTTCTGTCAGTGAGAGGGATCCTGACAAGGGAAGGCAGCCCTGTTTGGAGGAACCAGGCTGGGAAGAAGGAATAAAGCCCTGGGCGCCTAGCTTCTTCCCTGCTGCCTGCCTGGCTGCCTGAAGCCCACTTTAGCCACTACCCCACAGTCCACTGTCCTCCAAGGGAAAATACACAGCTCATTGGGTGTGAGGGAAGAGGTGGAAAGATAGGGCCTGGGACATCAGGGCGAAGCTGGGGGGAAGAAGAAGAAAGGAAATCTGGGGCCATTGGCCCTATCCAGGGTGAGATGGAAAGTCCTCACCCCTTGTTTACACCTCAGGTCTGCTTTCCATACGTCGGCAAGTGTGGGGGCCCCAGGGTGAGTAACAGCAGCCCCCTCACCCCAAGCACCCCATGACCGACTTTCAGCTCCGGGTTGAGGGAGGCAGAGAGGGACCCAAGGCCCTATCTAGGTCACCCCAGTGGGTCATCCCACCCCTGCGGCATACCACACAATTTTCCCCTCCCAGCAGCCTGTCAGGAAGGAAAGCCCAACTTCCGAACCCAGTGGGGACTCCCACTCTCTGGGTCTTCACTTCTGACTCCATATTTGCGTGTGACTCTGTGTCCAGAAGAACTTTCCTGAGGAGAGTTCTTTTTCTAGCCCATCTATCTCATGACCCTCCCCTCATTTTTCAACAAGAACATCTGGGAGAGCTGACATGTGAGTCCTTCACCCGCAGCCTATTCTGTTTTAAATTATCTTTTGTTTCTTCATTTCCACTCACTGAGGGACGGAAGCAGATAGAACAGCTGGTGGCTGGACAAAGAAGAAATTCAGAATTCTCAGGCTTACTCTGCCAAGTGCTATGCTGGGTGCTCTGATGTAGCTTAGGCCTTCTATTCTCTCATGGCCCTGTATGCAGGAGGTGTTCCTGTCTTCCTTGGGGAGATGAGGCTCAGTAACTGATTCAGGCTGTACAGTTAGGGCTTCTGGGGGATCTTGGGATCAGGCGATTTGGAGCCCGGATGCCTGAAGGTCTGGAAGTCCTTTGGCTGTGATTCAGGTGCCTGAGAATGTGGCCCTTCCCAGACTCTCTCTAGCAGGCTGCAACATCAGGAAATCTCACCTGAGCACTTGAGGTGCAGGACTTCCCCACTGGAATTCCCAGAGTCGGAAATTCCCATGCCCTGAGGGAGAGGTAATTAGGTTCAGGCTCCAGTTTCCTGGGGGAGGGGCTTATTTGCCCAGGCTTTGTTAAATGCAGGGCTCCTGAGCCCCAGTAGTCCCCTGGGTGGGGATGGTGTTCAGACATCTTTTTTTTTTTTTCTTTTGAACTTTTATTTGTATTTATTTTATGGGTTCAAGGATCTTTTTTTTTTTTTTAAAGATCTATTCATCTATTTGAGAGAGAGATTGCAAGCGCGCGTGCACGTGTGAGTGAGCAGAGGGAGGAGCAGAGAGAGAGGGAGAGAAGCAGACTCTCTGCTGAGAAGCGGGGCTCCATCCCACCAGCCTGAGATCAAGACCTGAGCCAAAATCAAGAGTTGGACACCCAACCCACTGAGCCACCCAGGTGCCTAGCTTCAGGGATCTTTTTTTTTTTTAATATTTTATTTATTTATTTGACAGAGATCACAAGTAGGCAGAGAGGTAGACAGAGAGAGAGAGATGGGGGGAAGCAGGCTCACTTCGGAGCAGAGAGCCCGATGTGGGGCTTGATCCCAGGACTCTGGGATCATGACCTGACCCAAAGGCAGAGGCTTTAACCCACTGAGCCACCCAGGCGCCCCCAGGTTCAGGGATCTTAAGGCTTGTAGAAAGAGGACTTCAGAGAGTGGCCTTCCACCCCCAAAGGAGAGGAAGATGCAGAATTAATTCGATGAGACCGTGTTTCTTTTCTAAGCACATTTTATTTCTCGCCACTGACCAGTAGGGCGGTTACAGACATCACTCCCCTGGGGAGCAGAGGTTCAGCGATGCAGTGACAGTCAGTCACCAAATCAGCA